ATTAGAATGGACAAATCACAAAAGCATAGTTTTGGTTGGTAAAACTAAATTTTGAAAATATATGAAACAACAATATACTATAGTTTTTGATAAGTAAATCTGTAGTGAAATATAAAAACATGGACAAGAAAGTTACATAACATCTGCTGACTAGTAATTAACTCTGGAAAGAGAAGGAAGATAATGGAAAGAAGTATTTTTTTAAATTTCAAGTGCTTCTATAAAATTCTGTTTCCTAAAAAAAGGTATGAAACAAGCATGAAATACAGTGTTACTTTGGTTCACAAACTTTTACAGTTCTGGTTGTAAACTGAATTGCACAATAACCAAATCAAATTCAATGGTAAGGTTCGATGTTGACTTGTGAGGAAATTTGATTCAGTTCTCGTTTAATTCAGTTTGTGACCACAATTGTGGAGAGAATTAAGTTTGTGAACTGAGGCACCACTGTAATAGTTAACATTCACAGCTGGGCATGGTGGCACATGCTTGTAATCCCAGCACTCGGGAGGCTGAAGCAGGAGAATTGCTAGGAGTTTGAGGTCACACTGAACTATATAGTGAGTTCAAGGCTAGCCTGAACTACAAAGCAAGATCCTGTCTCCAAAAAAAAAAAAACAAGTACACTGTAATAGCTAACATTCAGTAATTCAGGATGTTTCAGGAGTGTTCATTATAATGTTTTATATTTCTGAATATTTGAAATATTTCATAACATAAAATTTTACAGAAAGGTACTAAAATAAAAGTATCTCTTCTGTCAGCACTGAATACTCAGGTGTCAGGTACCATTCTAAATGTGTCATTTATATTAACAATTTTAATCCTCATAATAACCCTAAAATTAGGTAATATTAAAATCCCAACTTTTTATGGGGGCAAACAGAAGCCCAGAATAGTTATGTGACTTGCCCAAAGTTGCACAGCAAGCAGTACAGTTCTAGAGTTTGTGCTATGCACACTCCTTCACTTACCTTCTCCTAAAAAACCTGAAAGTAACAGCCTGCAAACTTCATTCAACAAAATGATCGATGCTGAAACCAACAATCTGTATGCTCTCAGAGAAAAAAACAGGTTTTATTTTCTTTCCTCCCAGAATGAGAAATCAACTAAATTCAGATAGAGAAGCTATATGTGTTTTTAGCAGCTGTATGTGTTTTTCAAGAAGTTGGTATCATATATACAGAGTCCACCCAAAAAATATATAATAATACAAAAAAAGAATGTGAAGATAACATATCTATATATATAGTATATATCTAAGAAACTGAATTATAATTTTTAAACTTTCCTGTAAAGGAACCTCTGGACCCAGATAACAAAGGGACCATGGGATGGCAATGGGTTTTTAGATATGATACAAAAAGCACAAGCAACAACAAAAACCCAAACAAATTAGATTCATCAGAGTCTGAACTTTACACACATCAAACATCACGATTAAGTAAAGACTACACAGAGAATGAGAGAGAGTATTTTCAAACTATGTTATCTGATAAGAGACTTGTAGGGCCTGGGATTTAGTTCAGTGGTTCCGCTGCCTGCCTCGCAAGCACAAGGTCCCGAGTTTGATCCTCAGTACCAAAAAATAAATAAATAAATAAAATTGAAAAGGAAACTAGGCCAACCACCGTGGCGTATGCCT